TTCCTTCCTCCTCTTTTCTTTCTTTCTTCCCTCTCTTGACAACAGGACTTTTTCTTCCTACGAAATGTTATATTCAACCCCAATATATAAAGCAGGTATAAGTGAAACTATGCAGATTGACCAGGGGAAAGGATCCACCTGCTTGACACCCCACCCCGGGCTTCCCTGGGTGGTTTCTGAGGCACATCTGAGGCGTCCTGGGGTTCCACAAAGCCATATCGGAAAGCTAAGCTTCTTTCTTGGTGAGGAAGTCAAGCTTTAATGGAGACAAGTGCTGTGCCCAAGGCCCACGGCCCCTTTCCCCCGGGTGTTTTCTGCAGGGCTGGGCTGCCGCTCCTGGGCTTCTGGCTGCTCCAGTGGTAGGCTGCTTTGAGCAGGGTGCAGTGGTATAAGCGAGGGCTTAGGACAGACCGCCTGAGCTAGAGCCCCGACTCTGAAAACCAATCGCTGGGAGACCTTGAGTAATGCAGAACTTCTCTGACCTGCAGGTTCTCAACCAAAATATAGGTGGGTTTTGTTGACATAGATCATGTAAGCAGCTAATGTTGTGGCCACCTAGCACCCACCAGGGACTCTGAGTGGCGCGTATTTCTGTTGAAGGAGCTGACGAAGAGGGGCCCACGGTCGGACAGACCAAGGGTGGTAGAGAAGGCAGTGAGAGAAGGGCAGTGAGTGCCGGTGGGCGGAAACGCTGGTCAAACCACTTCGCATTGAGTTCTGGGCCCTCAGTTCTTTCTGCTTTCTGTCCAGAGAGGAGGTCACAGTCCTGGCTGCCCTCACTGAATTTTGGCTCTCATTTGAGAGGTGGGCTGGGTGATAGATCTTGGGTCCCACCTCAGTGCTGCCTAAGTCACTGGTGATATTTCCCACTTCCTGGTGGGAGAGGCAGTAGGAGGCTGGGGTCGGGGTCGGAGGAGAGGGCAGTTGGACACGTGGTTCTCATATATATATATATATATATTTTTTTCTTTTCTCCACTGTGGCTGATGTTGCAGCTACTGGAACGTTTCTATTACCACACGCCTTGATTCTTTGATAAAGATGCTGAAGTTCTCTTTTTGGCTGTACTCAGTCCTGTGGGCTGAAAATAAAGGGCACTGTGTGCTTCCCTTGCCCTTGGGGTCCCTGAGACCTCTTGGTCTGTGAGGACATGGCTGGGTCACAAGGGAAGTAACCCCAGCCCTGGGATCAGCTGGGTCCCCTTCTGGAGAAGTTTGGTGGGAGTTCCCAATGTCACGTGGCTCCAGACAATCACAGTATGAGAACGGCCTTCTTCCTTGAATTTTCTGATCTGCTATTTGTTGCTCTTGTCATTGTTGTTATTTTATGTTTTTAGAAGCAGTGCACCACAGTGGGAGGAATTGCATGGGAAGATGCATTCAGGAAACCTGTCTTCTCTTCCTGGCTGTATCAGTACCTCATTATTTGGTCTTAGGCCTTGGTTTGCCCATTACTAAGTGAGACAATTTAATGATAGAACCTGTACAGTTGCTTGGAGCTCTGCAAGCCCCCCCCTTCCTGTTTAAAGGTTAAAACTATAGAGAAGTTGATAAGATCTTACATACTGGAGTTTATGGAGTTGTTACTATGTGCTGTTAATTGCATAAGGAACTTTAAACTAGGATGTTACTTAATCCTCACAAAAGCTCTGGTTGACACTAAAACTCCTATTATGTAGATAAGAAAATTGAGGCTCAGAGATGTTCCACCAGTTGTTTAAGTGGCCAGTATGCAATAGAGCGCGTTATGGAACCCTGGCCGTCGTGATACTGTGCAGTCGATCTTACTGACTGAGCCGTTAGTGTGAGAACTTCCTGTGGAGGAGGACACACCCTTTAGGCATCAGGTCTTTGGGCCAGTTGACCAGGAAACTGACATTTATTAGGCACTGGTGTGTGCCCAGTATTGTGCTAGAAGCTTTCCATATGTGATCTCCTATAATCCTCATGAGGGTGGTCAAGTATGTGGTGTTATTACTATTTACAGGTAAAAAACTCAGCAAAGTAAGGGACTTGATTGAGGTCTCACAGCCCATGATTGGTCACATGTTTTGGACCTAGGTTGTGTGTTGCCAAGACTTCCCCTTTCCCAGTCCACACATGCTCTCACTGGTGGAGGACCAGGCTGCCCTGCTCGAGCCCGCCGAAAGCCAAGAGGTGGCTGTCTCAGCTGGGACGGATCCCTGTACAAATTGCCTGGGTCTGGAATATTTATGTCATGCTGGAGAGCGAGGCGCCTGCCTCTCATACTCCAGGACAAAGTCGTTCCGGCTTCCAGAAACTCCCCTCGGTCCATCCCGGGATGTAGCCTTGTTCCACTCTCTTCGTGGGTGTGCCTATTTGAAGAAAGCTGACTTGACACACTCGGGTTCTCTAGAAGACTTCTGAGGACAGGAAACTTGCAACAGATGCTTCCTAGAGGAAGAGTGGGTTCCTGTTTTCTAGTGAGGATCACGGAAATCCTTCGTGGGAGATGAGCTCTCCAGAGGCTGCTGGGAGGCCCACGTATCAGTGACAGTTGATAAAGGGAGCATTTTGTCTCAAACTTTCCAAACTGCTGAGTGAATGCAGGCCGCCAGTCTATGTGGAAACTAGTTATTTATTCAGCTAAAATTGATTACATCGCTGTTACATATCTAGTGCAGGATAAGTGCCCAGAATACACGTGGGGTACGTTAATTAATGGCAAGTACAAGCAATTCTAATTGCAAGTGACTAAAGTTGACTCTAGCCAAATGAATTAAACACACACACACACACACAACAACAACAACAACAACAACAACAACGTTAGAAGAATACTGTTCCTCTCATTAAAAGAAGATGGGAAGGTCTGGAGAACCTGCAGTGGGCTGAGGGATGGCTTGGGAAGGGCAGAAGCCAGGGTAGCTCTGGGCATCTAGCAGATATCTCTGTTGGGAGCCGACACTGGTTGACTCTGCTCTGTTCCCTTTGCAATTCAAATTCCTCAGGGAGCCTGGGTCATGGTTGAGAACCTTCCCAGAATCATGTGGGAAGGTGAGGAGCATCTTCACAGAGGAAGGTGTTCTGGGCAGGCACACACACACACAAAGCATCTGGGTAGACACGCAGGGCAACCCTGACCCTGCAGGAGTTTATAGTCAGTGGGGGAAGGACAGAGAAATAATGTTGGCTGCTATGAATGTTATAAAAAAAATGCATTGAGAGCTTAGGGAGGTTTTAAATTCTGCACATGGGTCAAGTGTCAGGTCAGGTTAACAGGTGAGATTGTTTGAGGTTGAATTTTAAAGACCAAGTAAAAATTTGCCAGCTGGACAGATGCCTTTCAGGAGGAAGTCCTTGTGCGACAGTTCAGCAATATGAAAGAGTGGTGCGTCCAGGAAATGCAGGAGTGTCTGGTCCAGAGGGCCCATCAGAGAGGGAGCAATGTGGGTGGGGCCTGATCTTACAGCACTGCATGCTCTGTTAGGCTTTGGGACTTTTAATCCTAGGCGGAGAGCTGTCATTGAATGGCTTTATATGACCAAAGGACCTGATCAGTTCTTAGTTTTAGGAAGATGATTGCAGGGGCTGCAGCAGTCCCTCAAATTTAACTCCTTTGAATTGGCTATTAAAGCTGGGTGGCTGATGGTTTCAGTTGAGCCACAGAATGAGATGATGGGGGCACCAGTCTAAAGAGACTGCCAGGATAGCTAGAGCATCCCGATTTTGATGAGAATTCCCAGTAGCTCCATCTTCTATTGCAGATCAGGGACATGAAGCCCCTGGTGGCTTTCATTGCCTGTGGAGTTCTGAGTGTTTGAGAGTGACATGTCTTGGCTGAGAAAGCCACAGGCCACTGAAGGTTGTGAAGAAGCCGGTGTAGGGGGTATACCCCTCCCCCCCTTTACTCCCAACAACCTGTTTTCCATCTGTGCTTAGACATGGGCTTGTGCAGTGCTTCAGGGGGAGGAACGCTGGATACAATGTAGCAGAGGCCCTGATGCTGCTTGGGAAGGGAAGCCCTTCCTTCAGATAGCCATTCAGTGGTTTGCAGAGGAAGTTGAAGGAGGTGAAGGAAGCTGGGGTCCCCGGGAGTGGCTTGGGGCTGGGGGTAGAGCTTCCTTTTCCTTATAAACATGAACTCTGACAGGAAACAAGACAGTGCTGTTTCCTTTGAAGTAGGTGGTTTCTGAACACAGGAAAATCTTCACTGTGAGGGAGAATTTGCAGCTAGTGTTTGGGGGACTGTGGCTGGAGAGTGTTCGAGATCTCTGGTAGGGCGGGTCATGCACTTGAACACTGTGGAGAAAGGTGTGGAACATGGGCTCCAGGTCCAAGATGGGTTAGACTCTGCCTGCTTTTGCATTTTAGCTATGTGACTTTGTCTAAGTTACTTAACCTCTCTGTTTCTTGGTTCTCTGACTGGAATGAGTGTTAGTAATGTCACCACACCAAACCTAGCAACTTACTGAGTACTTACAGTGTGGCAGACACTGTGTGGATGTGTTTTGCATTCATTCTGTCATTGACTTCTTAAACAGCCCTGTGCAGTAAGTAGTGTCATTATTAGCATTTCACAGATAAGGAAACTGAAGCACAGTGAGGGTGGTCACTTGCCCATCCCTTTCTCCCCCACCCTGCAACAAGTTCAGTAAATGGTGGAAGTAGGATTTAAATTCAGACAGTGTGACCTCAGAACTGTCCTGAGCTTTTTTTCCTTTATTAATTTTTAGAGAGCGAGGAAGGGAGAGGGAGAGAGAGAGAGAGAAACATCGATGAGAGAGAACATTGATTGGCCTGCATGCCCCACACTGGGGATTTGGTCAACAACCTGGGCATGTGCCCTGAGTGGGAATCAAACCAGTGACCTCCTGGTGCATGGGTCAATGCTCAACCAGTGAGCCACACTGGCCGGGCTCAAGGAGATTAAATATGTAAAATGCTTAAGGTAGGTGCTCCTGGTTTCTAGTGAGCACTCAGTGCTATCAGTAAGCTCTTTTGCTTGTGGTCTCACCTGCGCCCCTTTGTCTCTCTCAGAAGCAGCTGACACAGGACGATGATGCCGATGAGGTGGAGATAGCCGTGGACAACACAGCCTTCATGGATGAGTTCTTCTCTGAGGTAGGCCACCATCCGGAGCCTTTTTCTGAATGTACACAGGGAAACACAGCTTCCTCGGTAAAGAATAAAAACCCCAGGTCTTTCCTGGGTAGCAAAGAAACTCAGTGTTTTGCTGGGGTGGGGTGGCCAGACCATGAAGTTACAAGGAGAGTCTCTACAATATTTACTTGGGCGGATTTGGGTTTTTAATCTTATGGAGAAAGTCAGCAGAAAGTAAATTATATGTAATTAAAGAGATGCTTTTAAAGTCGTCTGCTACGTGAAAACATTTTAGTGCCGCTACATAAAAACATTTCAGTGATAGCCTTCCTCCCCCTTCACCAAATTACACAATTTGAATACAGGATCAATCATGGGGTCCCAGCCACAAGTATAAAACACATTGCGTTTTTCAGGCCTGTGATCCATATAGATCAGATTTGTTTCCCCAAAATGTAGTTCCTTTGTCTTAATTCTGGTGATAACGGAGAAACCAAGAAACCACCAATTTATATTTTTGAAGTTGAATAGGGGCAAAGAGGGGTTGCCCATGTCTACAAATTCACACGCGCGTTGATTCTGAAGTCCTTGTCGGGAAGGTGCTGCATACTGGGCAGCTGTGGGGAGAGTGTGTCTGGGGCAGAAACACAGGCTCTGGAGCCAGGTGACCTTGGGTTCGAATCTCAGCCCTGCTTCCAACCAGCTGTTGATCTTGTGAGTGTGTCTTAGCATGCTTGGTTTCCTCACCTGTAGATGGGGATGGGTCATACAATTCCCTGGATGGTTGTTATCAGGGCTAAATTGGATAATGTTTCTCGTACATCCAGTGAGGCGGCTGAGATACCCGTATATGCTCAATAATGATACCTTAAAGCAACAGAACAAAACCACAGAAAGTTCAGTCACTGAAGTTTCTGACACCATACTATGTTTTTTTTCTTTATGGCTTTTAACTTTTTTTGGAAAGAAGAGGCGTTGTATTCTTCTGCAGGGAGCACGTGGCTGCTCCCCCTCCTCTAGCTTATGGATGTGGAAAGGTCGTCCTCTCTTGCTTGGTCAGATGGAGTGGAGCGAAGCCTGGTAGTTCAGGCCCATTCACAGGGTAGAGTAATACGTGGATGTAGGAGGCCAGTGAACGGTCTGGTTGGGGAGCTGGCTGTGAACGTGTACAGATTCCCACCCTCCCATGCGTGGGTCTGTCCTTCAGGTCAAGAAGTCATAGTGAGATCAAACATTTGAGTTTTGTGAGTTCAGTACCATTCCAGGTGTGGATCATGGAAGGAGAGGGTCTTTCTGTTCATTGGTGGGGTTGGACTTAAGGAGATCTTTACGTCACTGGAGCTTGTCCCTCTGATCTTGCCTTGAAGTACCAGATGATTAACAAACTTAATGTAAGGGGATAAGGAATAAGGAATAAAGAATAAGAAATCTTACCCAATGACGGTGTTCTGCCTCTTCCCTTACACCGGTCCGAGGGGCTCTGAGAGGCAGTATTCCTTGTGAGGTGGGAGAAGACAAGACATGGTCTGAGTCCATCCTCCAGTGTTCAGGAGCAGTTGACTTTGGTCAAGTCACTCAACCCACCAGGGCCTTAATTCTTGCTCTGGAAATTGGGACTGTCATGAGGCTCACATGGGATCACACATCTGGAAGGCGTATCTAAACAGAAAAGCATTGGATGGATGATAGTTACTTTTGGAGACTTAAGATCTTGAGGGCTGCTGCTTTTCTTATTGCTTTTTCTTTTTTTAATGTTTTTTTTTTAAATTGATTTTTATAGAGAGAGAGAGAGAAATATCAATTTAAGAGAGAACCATTTATTGGCTGCCTCCTGCACGCCCCCTACTGGGGATCAAGCCCGAAACCTCAGCGTGTGCCCTGAGCTGGAATCGAATGAGGACCTCTCAGTCCATGGGTGATGCTTAATCTACTGAGTCACACTGGCCAGGTTCTTACTGCTTATTTTGGTCACATTCTTTTCTATCATTTAGAACAAAAAAAGAGTCATATATTTAGGGTGGAGAAGGGGGCAGCACAGTGGGGTGGAAAGAGTATGGTCTTTTAAATTAATTTCTTATCTTCCAGGAGCTGTGATCTTGGGCGCATTCCTTAACTTCTCTAAGTCTCAGCAGGTTTATCTGTGAAATAGGGAGAAAAATATGTACCTCACAGGTTTGTTGGGGATTCAAGGAGCTAACACTCCGAAGGTGCTTGGTGTGGACACAGGGCAGTGTTACCTTCCTTCTTTCTCATCAGGTAAAGCACAGAAAGGATAGGGGTTGGAGTGGGGCAGAGGCAAGAGCAAGCAAATCATGGAGAGCGAGGCTCTGGGACCTCGCAGATCCTGGCCCAAATCTCAGCTCTGCCGTATAACTTTGAAAAAGTTGTTTAACTGCTCAAAACCCTAGTTTTGTCTAAAACAAGAAAGGTGATATTACTTGCTGGTTATTACAACTATAAAATGAGCCCTGGCCCAGGTAGCTCAGTTGGTTAGAGCATTGTCCTGATACTCTAAGGTTGCGGGTTTGATCCCTGGTCAGGGCCCAGAGAAGAATCAACCAACGCATGCACAAATAAGTGGAACAACAAATCGAGGTTCCTCTCTCCCTAAAAAATCAATTAATAAAAAAAAATAAAACAAAGTGAGCAAGTATGTGATGTACCCAGCACGGAGCCTGACATACAAAGTACGTCTGCAGTATTTTAGACCTTATCACCATGGTATTCTCCCATGTATCTTGAGTAAGTAGACCTCAGAGTTGAAAGTGAAATAAAGTACATTCCAGGTGATAGGGAACTGGGGAAAGAAGAGGGTTTCTCCTTTTCTGTGACTGCGGAACGTACCCCATCCACCCTGCAGGATCTAGCTTCATAGATTTCTGGGGAAGGTGCTCTTGTGATCAGACCTGCCTTTTGGACTCCTTCCAGTGAACAGGTCACCCTCGGTTGTTTGCTGAGGACCGGCGGTGCGAATCACAGGTGGTCAGAGCGGCATGCAAGGTGTGGATGAAGTCACAGGACCAGGATAGTTTCAAAATGCGCTTTGCCCTGTAAAACTCCAGTGGTTTCTCCAGCTTCTCAATTGTTGGAGAAAAGAATCGGCCCTTGGGTTTTCAGGCCTTCTCGGCTGGGCAAGCCAGGGTCTGGTAAATGATAAACCTCAGACTTTTGTCAAATCTGCAGTTGTCTGTATTTTTCTTGGTCTGTTTGCTCAGTTGGCAGAGAGCAAAGTTCCAGAGGAAACAGAATGAATCTGAGAAGGCGGAAACACAAGGGGCTTATTGTTCTGTATTCACTCATCCATTCATCCATTCGTGGGAATACATGAATGCCACTGCCTTCCAGAGGGCGTGGTAGGTGCTGGGGATGGAACGCTCCGTGGGACAGGGGCCTTGCCCTCCCTCGCTGTCTCCCTCTCTGGTGAGGACAACAGAAAACTTTAAAAAGTCACATGATAACAGAAATGTCAACAAGGCAGGAATGTGGGAACACAGAAGAGGAAGCCTCCCGTTGTGCCAGGAAGGAGGGAGAGGGACAAGGGAGGGCAGGCTTCAGTGGGTGGTAACTAGACTTGCCCACCAGAGTCCCCTGGGAGCGCGCGCGCGCACACACACACACACACACACTCACTCACCCACCCCTGACTCAGAGGGCCTGGAATGGCCCAGACTCCTAAAGTTCTTCCAGATGATTCTGCCGCCCGCTGCAGTTACGAACCCCTGCACAATGACGGGGAGCCTTTAAGATTTTAAGCAAGGAACTAAAGGGATTAGGGCGTGTTCGAGAAAATGGTTCTGGTGGCAGTGTGTGCAGAGCGGGAGAGGCCAGAAAGGGAGAGACCAGTAAGTTCCCATGCAGCAGCCCACGGGAAAAGGATGAGAGCTGTGTCCTGAAGCTGGGTCCCTCGGCAGCAGCACGGTGTATCTGTCACCTAAGGATGCCTTCGAGTAATTGTGGCTTAAGCAATAAAGACATGACATTATTTTACACACGAACAAGTCTGGAGTTAGGGGCGGTGCAGCGGGTTAGGTGTTGGGGTTGCAGGTCAGTACCTCTCTGATCCTCTTGGCTTTCCCTTAGGGTCGAGAGACGGTCTGTTCTGATTATTGCTGTGTAGCAAATTGCCGTAACCATCAGTGCTTTGGTGATACTGGCAGATTCTGTGCAGTAGGAATTCAGACAGGGCACAGTGGAGGTGGCTGATTTTTGCTCGGCAATTTCTGGGGCCTTAGTTGTGAATTGTTGAACAGCCAGAGGCTGAGATCTTGATTCTAACATTGAGAGAGACTTCTTCATTCTAACCAGGGGGACTCAGGACAGCTCAGCAGAGACTGTCAGTTGGAGAGCCTACACTTGACCTCTTTCTGTGGCCTGGACTTCTCAGCACAGTCGAGTTAGGGTGTGAGTTTTGTACGTGGAGACTCAGGGGCCCGAGGCAAGCGTCCCAGCTGTGGAAGTCATGTGTGCTTACTCTGTGGTTGCGGCAGTCATGTGCCCACCAGATTCAAAAGGACAGTACATAGAATACCACCTCAGAGTCCACCTCCTCAGATGGGAGGAGCATTGAAGAGTTTGTGTCGTGCCCGGCTGGTGTGGCTCAGTGGTTGAGTGTTGACCTACACACCAAGGGGTTGCCGGTTCAATTCCCGGTCAGGGCATATGCCCAGGTTGTGAGCCTGATCCCCAGTAGGGGCATGCAGTTGATATTCTCTCTCACCAATGTTTCTATCTCTCTCACCCTCTTCCTTCCTCTCGCTCTAAAATCAATAAAGGAAAAGAAAAAGTTTGTGTCGCGTTCTGAAACCACAGCTCTGTATGGCATCGCCCTGCACTAGCATCGCAAGCAGTGAGAAAGGGGGCAGCTAGGAAAGTTCCAAGGTCCTTTTATATCAGGGAGGAAAACGACCCAAATCCTTCAAACTGACTCTCCCTTGTTACCCAGTAGCCAGCAATGGATCATATGGTTGTGGCTGCTCTTAGCTAGAAGGGAGACCAGGAGAGGGACTACTTCAGAAAGGGAC